CACTCCCATTTCCATTACCATGATACTACCGCTGCCATTACCATTAGAATTCCCATTCTCATTCCCATTCCCAATACTATTACAATTCCCAGAACCATTACCATTACCAGTGCCATTACCATTACCACTACCACTATCATTTCCATTCCCGTTCCCGTTCCCATTCCCATTACCATTACCATTACCATTGCCAGTGCCATTACCATTACATTTAACTCTACCTTTACCTCTACCCTTACCATTACCATTGCCATGGCCATTACCATTGCCATTGCCATTGTCATTGTCATTGCCATTCCCATTGCCATTGCCATTGCCATTACCCTTACCCTTACCGTTGCCATTGCCATTGTCATTGCCTCGCTACCCCGTTACCACTATCATTACCGTAACCATTACCAGTACCATTACCAGTACCATTACCATTACCATTACCATTACCATTGCCGTTGCCGTTGCCATTGCCATTCGAGGATTTCAGTAGGAATCATTCAGTGGAGGGTTTCAGCAGGAATCCACATGTGGAGGATTTCGGTAGGAATCATTCAGTGGAGGGTTTCGATAGGAACCCTTCTGTCGAGGATGTTACTGTGAATCCTTCTTATGGGGGCGTCCAATATGAATCCTTCTAGGGGGGAGGGCAGATGTGGTCACGTCGCATTCCGTTTTTTTCTCTTGGCGCCCCCCCCCAGAGAAAAAAACATGTTTTTTGTTGTGTTTCCTGGGGGGGGGGCGCCTGGAGAAAAAAAAAGGCAGAGAGGTAGCAGGAGGGGGAGAGGGAGGAGGAGGAGGAGGAGGAGGAGGAGGAGGAGGAGGAGGAGGAGGAGGAGGAGGGGGCGGAGGAGGAGGAGGAGGAGGAGGAGGAGGACGACACAGAGCAGAGTTTGCACAGAAACAGTCGCGAACTCATCGCGAAACCCTCGCGCGCGCGCTTTTGAACCCCTGCGACTCCAACAATCCCCCGTTCTCTTCCTCCTCCTCCCCCCCTCCTCCCACCTCCTCCTCTTCCTCCTACCCCCTCCTCCTTTTTTCCTGTTCCCACCCCTCCTCCTCTACCTCCTCCCCTCTCCCTCCTACGCCCCCTCCCTTCATTCCTCCTCTTTCTTCTCCCCTCCTACGTTTGCTCCTCCTCCTTCTCCTCCTCCTCTCTTCTTTCCCTTCTCCTCCTTCCCCTCCTTCTCCTCCTCCCTCTTCCTCATCCTCCTCATCTCGTTCTCCTGCTATTCCTTCTCCTCCCTCCTCCGTCTCCTCCTAAGTCCGCTCCTCCTCGTCCTCATCCTCTTTCCTCGTCCTCCTTCATCCCTCCTCCTCCTCCCTCCTCCTCCTCCTTCCCCTCCTCCTCATGTTCCTCTTCCTCGTATTCTCCCTCCTCCCCCGCCCCCTCTCCTCCTCCTCCTCCTCCTCCTCCTCCTCCTCCTCCGCCTCCTCCTACCCCCCTCCTCACGCTCTCATCCTCATTCCTCCTCCTCCCCCTCCTTCTTTTCCTGTTCCCTTTCCTCCTCCTCTACCTCCCTCCTCCTCCTCTCCCTCCTCCCGCCCACTCCTCTTTCCCTCTCCTCTTTCCTCCTCCCTCCTACTGTTTCTCCTCCTCCTCCTCTCTTCTTCTCCTTCTGCTCCTTCCCCTCCTTCTCCTTCTCCTTCTCCTCCTCCTCGTTCTCCTCCTATTCCTCCTCCTCTTACTCCTTCTCCTCCTATTCCGCTTCCTCATCGTTGTCATCCTCTTTCTCTTCCTCCTCCTCCTGCTCCTCCTGCTTCCCTCCTCCTCTTTTTTTCTCTTCCTCTTATTCTCCCTGAATCCCCCACTCCTCCTCCTCCTCCTCCGCTCCTCCTCTCCTCCTCCTCCCTCTCCTCCTCCTCCTCCCCCCCTCCTCCCCCTCCTCCTCCTCTTCCTCCTCCCCCTCCCTCCGTTTTTCCTGTTCCTTTCTTCCCTCCTCTACTCCTCCTCCGCCCCCTCCTCTTCCTTCTCCTCTTCCTCCTCCTCCTCCTGTTTTCTCCTCCTCCTCCCTCTCTCTCTCCTTCTCCTCCTTCCCCTCCTTCTCCTCCTCCTCCTCCTACTCCTCCTCCTCGTTCTCCTCCTATTCCTTCTCCTCCTCCTCCTACCTCCTTCTCCTTCTCCTCCTATTCCGCTTCCTCCTCGTCCGGTCGTCCCTCCTCCCCTCCTGTTCCTCTTCCTCTTATATCCTTCCTCCACTCCTCCTCCTTCCTCCTCCTCCTCCTCCTCCCTCCGCCTACTCCTCCCTCCTCTCCTCCCTCCTCCTCCTCCTCCTCCTCCTTCATCCTCCTCCTCCCCCCCCCTCCTCCCGCCTCCTCCTCCTACCCCTCCTCCTTTTCCTGTTCCCTTTCCTCCTCCTCTACCATCCCCTCCTCCCTCTCCCTCCTCCGCCCCCTCCTCTTCCTTCTCGCTCTTCCTCCTCCCTCCTCTTTTTTCTCCTCCTCCTCCTCCTCCTCCTCCTCCTCTCTTCTTCGCCTTCTCCCCTCCTTCCCCTCCTCTCCTTCTCCTTCCTCCTCCTCCTCCTCCTCCTCCTCCTCCTCGTTCTCCTCCTATTCCTTCTCCTCCTCCTCCTCCTCCTTCTCCTCCTATTCCGCTTCCTCCTCGTCCGTTCATCCTCTGTTCTCCTCCTCCGCCTCCTCCTCCTCCCCTCCTCCTGTTCCTCTTCCTCTTATCTTCCCTCCTTCTCTCCTCCTCCTCCTCCTCCTCCTCCTCCTCCTCCTCCTCCTCCTCCCCCTCCTCCTCCTCCTCCTCCTCCTCCTCCTCCTCCTCCTCCTCCTCCTCCTCCTCCCCATGCCGCTCCCCCTCCCTGTGGGCCGTGGGCTAACCATTTACGGCTAGCGGGCGTAGCGGGGGACGCAATGGCACATGGGGTGAAGAAAAACAATGCCCTCTTCCTCTTCCTCTCGAAGTCTGTCTTGAATTTCCCCCGTCCTCCAGCCCTCCATTTCGCTCTCCTTCCTTTATTCCGCAGCGGTGGGGGCGCCGCAGCCAGCGACGCCACTGACGCGCTCCGCGCGGTAGGGGGGACCCTCGCGCCGATCCAAAACATCCGCGCGCAGCTCACAAGTTTATGTTTATGCAGTGTTCGGTCCCTTGAGTAGGATGCAACTGGTATATCCCTAGCCGAAAAATGGCCGAATCCGGCTCAATCCGCGCAATGATGCTTAATCCCGTTTAATCCGATATGATCCAGCTGATTCCGGCTGACTCCCGCTCATTCTGGCGTAGTCCCGGGCCCAGTCCGGCCTAACCCGTACCAGTGGCCCCCGAATCGGGCATCATCGCCCCTCATCGTTCTGACGAAGACCTCCCAGGAGTTGCCTCCCAACGATTGTCGCCTGGAGCGATCGGTGCCCTCGCGGCGGCACGAGGGCGTTTCTTTACTGCTCGCGGCATAACAGGCATTCTAGCCCCCGGCCCCCCCTCCCCCCCCCCTTATAGCGCAACGCCCCTCCCCACCCAGTGCGCTCCCCGCACTGCCGCCGTAAGCTCGCCGGGGGGGGCGTTACATTATACCCCCCCCTCCTGACCTCTCCCCGCCCCCTTTTCAATGTCAATTATAGCCGAAAGTATAGAAACGTGATCCAACGGAAATCCGCTTCATCGACTCGAGCCCTGTTCATGCGGCCTCCGGTGTTGTGTCGCTGTCTCCGTCCCAGGGACCGCGCACCATCCTGAACAGTTGAGGAGTGCCCAGCCGCGCAAAAAAAACAGCGGGACGCTGCAGGTTCAAACGTGCAACTTGGAGCCGACGATCCGCGAGCCACCAATGGTGGCTCGCGGATCGTCAGCTTCAAGTCCCCCGCCAGAAGTAAACAGCGCATTTCATCTGACGATTGGCGTTCCAAGGGCGCACGTTCTGATACCGTTGAAGTTTTATCGGCGTTGCGTTGGCTCCTCCTTCTTCTTCTATATCCTCATCCCCCCTCTTCCCTCATCCTCCTTTTTCTTCCTCTCCCTTCTCCTACTCCTCCCCCTTACCTCCTCCTCACTCCTCTTCCTTCTCCTCTTCCATTCCTTTTCCTTATAGATAACTCTTCCCTGTCGCACCCCAGGGCCAATTTTTAGGGCGGGCTGGGCGTTCATCCTGAGACTTCTTCAGCATTTATGATTCTGAAGCTTTAAAATGACAGCAGTTTCAAAGATGGAGGGCGGGTCGCTTTCAACATGTGGTTCTCGCTTTACCGCCGCGCACATTCGCTTTAAACAGCGCAAGCGTTTCACGTATTGAGGGCGGATGGTTTTCAAATGTGGCTCTCGCCTCAGCGCCGCGCCCATTAGTTCTCAAACTTTACGAGCGTTTCACGGATTGAGGGCGGGTCGTTTTCAAAATGTGGTTCTCGCTTTAGCGCCGCGCACATTCTTTTAAACATTTGCAAGATTTTCACGGATTGAAGGCGTGTGGTTTTCAAAATGTGGTTCTCGCTTGAGCGCCGCGTACATTCGTTTTCAAATTTTGCAAGAGCTTCACGGATTGAGGGCGGGTCGTTTTCAAAATGTGGCTCTCGCCCTAGCGCCGTGTGCATTCGCTTTAAACAGTTGCAAGAGCTTCACGGATTGAGGGCGGCTCCTTTTCGAAATGCGGTTCTTGCTTCAGTGCCGCGCGCATCCCTTTACACCTTGCAAGAGTTTCACGGATTCCCAGGGCCAACGTACCAGAAATGGCGTTTTGGACGGGTTAAGGATTACGCGGGTGCAACGGCTCGGTGTTGAAGTCCCAAAAATGGCGTTCTGGCACGATTCCAGATCGTCAAGGCGCAGCAGTCAGGTTGATACGTGGCGTTGGAATCCCGAGAACAATGTTTTGGCATGCTTCAGGATCTTCAAACGGCTGTCTTCCAACGAGGCAGTTCCCTCAATGGAAATGAACCGTTGTGGGGGCCTGTGAAGAGGGAGCTTGGAAGGAGGGTTAATTCCTTTCTTCGTTGGTGACCCTTGCTTTTACACTGGCCCTCCTCCTCCTCCTCATTCCTCCTCCCTCTGGCTCGCAGTCCTCGGCGGCCCCGAGGACATCGGTGGGCTCAGCCTCCGGGTGGCCCTGCCGCCGGGGGGGGACGGCGGCTCAGACTTCCAGGGGCGCGAACATTTATAGAGCAGTGTCTTTGGTTCCTCGACATGCGCGGCTTTCGGAGGTCCGTTCCAAATCCGTTCGTTATGATGTATCGTGATGGTGTTGATGGTGTTGCTGCTGTTGTTGATGATGATACTGATGATGTTGATGATAATGATGATGATGCTGCTGATGATGATGATTATGATGATGATGATGATGATGGTGATGATGATGATGATGATGATGATTGTGATGGCGATGGCGATGGCGATGGCGATGGCGATGGTTATATGATGACGATGATGCTGCTGATGAGCATGATTATGCTGACGATGGTAATGGTGATGGTGATATGGAATGATGATGGTTGTGATGATGACGACGATGATGATGATGATGCTGCTGATGTTGCTGATGATTACGATGCTGGTGATGATGATGATGCTGATGATGACGATGCTGATGCTGCTGATGATGATGATGATGATGATGATGATGATGATGATGATGATGATGGTGGTGGTGGTGGTGGTGGTGATGGTGGTGTTGATGATGATGATGATGTTGATGTTGATGCTGCTGATGATGATGGTGGTGGTTGTGATGATGATTCGGTTTGATGATGCTTGATGATGGTTTCGTTGCAATTGTTATGTCGAAGTACTGGGCAGTGACGTGTGCGAGCTCGGCGGGCACTTCGGACGACCCGCCGAGGACCGCAAGCTCTGGGGCCGTCGACGCGCGACTCGGGATTGCAAGCCAGTCCCAAGGCGAGGGTCCAGAGGCCGGGAGCTCCGAGACTCGAAACTCATCAGAAGGAGCAACAAAAACACATAAACATAAAAATCTTTTGCGCTCCGCGCGGAGTTCTTGGATCCGCGCCTGGGCCCCCCTCCTGGCGGCGCCTCCGGCGGCGCCCCCGGCGCGCTCCGCGCGCGAGGGAGGGGCGTCCAGTGCGGATCCAAGAAATCCGCGCGGAGCGCCAAAAGTTTTTGTTTTTGTGGTTTGTTTTTTCTTCTTCTTCTTCTCCTTATCGAGTCGTCGGAGGCCTGGGGACGACGTCGTCGTTGTCGACTCCGACGCTGCTGTGGCAGCTCCCCGGGCCGTCGTCGCCCTGGCCAGGCCCGGCTCGGACCACTGGCAGGGAGGGCCCTCGGAAGAGGTACGGAGATCGCGAGTGGGCGCGGGTTTGTGCTCCTCCTTGTCGTCCACCTGCTCCGTCTCAAGCAGTGGCGAAGCGGCCTGGCTCGCCTATAGGCCCACCAACGGATGTTCTGAGAACCTTTTTTGTGGTTTCCACGGAGTGTTCTTAGAACATTTCTGGCTGGGACTGTCTTGTGTTAGCACGTCGGGCTTCTGTTCTGAGGACACTGTTCTTGTTATGAGAACAGGTTTGGGTTCTAAGAGTATGTCCAGGTAGGCCTATAGAAATGCCGGGACGGTCGGTCCCTGTTCAAGAAGAGTCAGGAGGGGAGAAAACACACAGACACAATTAATCGTCGATTCCCCAGAAAATATGGGAAAATATGGGCAGTGCGGGGGAAGACGAAAACCCAGAAAATATGGGAAAATATGGGGGATATTTTTATTTGTGTGTATTTATTTGTGTGTTCCAGTTCCCCTTCAAAAGAGGTCCGGAGATCGTGAGCGGGCGCGGGTCTGGGCCCTTGTCGTCCACCTCCTCTGCCACACTGCCCGGGGAGGAGGGGAAGGTCGGTATCGTTTCACCGATCCCCATCTCCATCCCCTTCGAGACCCCACTACATCAGGGCTCATTTCAATTCCTCCGATTCGATTCGATTCGACGTCGATTCGATTCGACTTCGGATTCCGATCTGGATGCCGATCCCTCAATGGAGGCCTACTGGCCTGCCGATTTCTGCCGATTCGACTTCTCCCGACTTGGCTGCCGATGTCTGCCGATCCGGCTCGTTTCGATCGCCGATCCGACTTATCGATTCGATTCTGGGCTCTCCTGCACTACATAACCGCCCCAGTTGGGGATACACCCCTCGAAACGCGAAGGGAACGACCTATATCCCCTATCTAGGGGGGTAAATCGGCCAGTGGGTCCCAGGCCACGCCGCTGGGGATGGGGTTCGGTTAAACGATATTCGGGAGGGAGGGAGGGGGAGAGGGGGAGGAGAGCACAATTAAAGTGAATCGCGCAGTGAATACTTTGAGCTCGGCGAAGAGGCGGAAAACCACGGGACCAGTTCTTCGAGAGCTGTGTCCGGCAGGTGGCGTTTTCTTTTGGGCCGCGACGTGCTCCGTCTCGACGAAGAGGTAACCTGCGCGGGGTTGCCCAGGTTCCCAGAGGCAGAGATAACCAATCATGGACTCGGTTTCGTCGGCGAGGCATTCTAGTCTGAGCAAGGTTCGGGAAGAGTTCGTAAAGTGCCGCTGAGCAGCCCCGAAATGGTGATCCGTGAAGCGTGCCGTCCTTGAGAGATGGCAGCGACGAATGCTGAGACCTGGGTGCCCAGGCATGGAGTCCATGAGCGGCTCATGTGGCAGCCTGTCCGGTGCCTTCCACACAAGATGGTGAATTTCGTCATGCCATACCAGCGCAGCTTACTTGGAAGCTGGATGCAGTACTTTGGTTCGTTGTCGCGTGCGGGGGGCCGTGCTCGCTGTACAGCGCCGGAGGTAACCTTGCACCCAGACAGCGGCACTGGGGTCTCGGCGTTCATGCAAGCTAGCGGTGGGGGGGGCACCGGAGCCAGAACCAGCCCACCTGCATCAGGAGGGAAAGAAACACGCAGACACAATTAATCGTCGATCCCCAGGAAAATATGGGAACATATGGGAAGTGGGGGGGGAAGACGGAAGCCCAGAAAATATGGGAAACTATGGAGAATCCTTTCATTTGTGTGTACTTATTTGTGTGTCACAGGGCCCCTGCACCGGAGCCAGAACCAGCCCACCTGCACTTCGCCAGACATCATGTCATCCCAGTGTCGTGGGATTACCAGCCTGGAACATGTCCTTATCCCTATGCTGGGCCTCTCCTCATCACGATGCCAATCTTAGGGATTCCCTCAGTTTCTGAGGGTGCATCCCTAAGATTGTCGTCGCCTTTTGGCGCGTCAATCTCAGGGATAGGAACACGCTCGAGGCTGGTAAACTTCTAGGCCGCCGATTCCCCCGCTCCCTCGCCGCCGAAGCAGCTCCGCGCAGGTCCACACCCTCGGTCGCCCGCGCGGGCGCGGAGGGCACCGCGCCGCGCGGGGCCGAAGGATTGCAAAAAACACCATTCCTTGAACGAAGGATTGCAAAAAAACCCTTCCTTGAACGAAGGTTTTTTGCAATCCTTCGTTCAACCGAGGGCTTTTTTTGCAATCCTTCGTTCAAGCGGGTTTTTTTTGCAATCCTTCGTACGTTCGAGGCTGGTTGTCATCCCAGCGTCGTGAGGTGGGACAGGCGGAGGATCCTGCAGCTCCTGCAGTCCTGCGGCCGCGGGGTGTGCGGCGCGCGGGGCCCTCACGAGCAGGCCTTCCGTCGAGCAAGCCTTCAGTCGGGCCCGTCCCTCTGCAGGATGAACATCCCCAAAGAGTAAAGCCTAGTCTGGGTACTATTTTTGGAGCATTAGTTGACCACTTCTGAAAGTTTGTTTTGTTTGGGTGCTCTGATTTGTCGTCCCAAATCCGCCTGTTGGAGGACATGCCCGACCTAATAAAGGATGACGATTAATAAATGACGGGGGGTCGTGTTCACGCGACGGCGCCCGGGATGACGATCAGAAGAAACCGGCCGCGGGCTGGAAAACTATGTTTTTAAATCGTCCTCCTCCAGTCAGAAAGTCGTGCAGAAATAGCAGGAAACTGTTTGTTTCATCGTTCTCTCCCATTTTTTATGAATCGTCATCCCGCATTTTTATGAATCGTCATCCCATCTAGGCCGCCGATTCCCCCGCTCGCTCGCCGCCGAAGCAGCTCCGCGCAGGTCCACACCCTCGGTCGCCCGCGCGGGCGCGGAGGGCACCGCGCCGCGCGGGGCCTCGTACGTTCGAGGCTGGTTGTCATCCTCCTCGAGGAGGAGGAGAAAGAGAAAGAGAAAGAGGAGGAGGAGGAGGAGGAGGAGGAGGAGGAGGAGGAGGAGGAGGAGGAGGAGGAGAGGAGGAGGAGGAGGAGGAGGAGGAGGGGGCATCCCAGCGTCGTGAGGTGGGGCAGGCGGAGGATCCTGCAGCTCCTGCAGTCCTGCGGCCGCGGGGGGTGCGGCGCGCGGGGCCCTCACGAGCAGGCCTCCTCCCCCTCCCCCTCCTCCTCCTCCTCCTCCTCCTCCTCCTCCTCCTCCTCCTCCCCTCCCCTCCTCCTCCTCCTCCTCCTCCTCCTCCTCCTCTCCTCCTCCTCCTCCTCCTCCTCCTCCTCCTCCTCCTCCTCCTCCTCCTCCTCCTCCCCCCCACGATAATGGAGGATGACGATTAATACATGACCGGGGGTCGTGTTCACGCGGCGGCGCCCGGGATGACGATTAGAAAAAGCCGGCCGCAGGCTGGAACACTATGTTTCAAATCGTTCTCCTCCAGTCAGAAAGTTGTGCAGGAATAGCAGGAAACTATTTGTTTATTCGCTCTCTCCCATTTTTTATGAATCGTCATCCCGCATTATTGCTAGCCTCGAACGTATCCCTATCCCTAAGATCGACACGCCAAAAGGCGACGACAATGTTAGGGCTTCGCCCTCAAAAAAGAAGGGGATCCCTAAGATCGGCATCGTGCTGAGGGGGTGCCCAGCATAGGGATAGGGATATGTTCCAGGCTGGTAAGGATGGTGCTGAAGATCGCTGGGTGGTTTGCGCAGGTGGGCCCCCGCCACGCACCATGGCGGCGACACCAGGGTACGGCTGAAGGACGTACACGTTGGCTGCGCCTAGGGGCGGTCCTTGAGACTGTCCGAGCCCAGCGCGAAGAGTTCATGAAGTGGCACAGAGCTGGGTTTGTAGCGTCGTTAGGG